TCGAAAAAAGTTTTAAAGGCTCAGCCTCAGTGTGTATCGCCACGACTTTGGCTGGCTGGCAGCAGAAGTTCTCGACTCTACAGGTTTGACATTCTAGATTCTAGATTCAGATTCTACATTAATTTCGAGTCTAGAGTCTAGAGTCTCGAGAGTCGTGTAGATTGTAGATTCTAGATTCCAGATTTCCGCACGTGTAAGGGTCTACTACAGCCTACGGTTTAGAATTCTAGATTCCAGAACCCCAAAGTACTAAAATATGATACTCGAAGTGTACCTGGAAGTTCCCGGGACTTGAGTCGGACCTCAGGAGCATGAGCAGAAGCTGTCCAAGACGTTTTGTTTTCACACTCGTACTCGTCATTCATATACTGTCATGGAGCAATGGAGCCATGATTTCGTATGTTGGTGTCAGTTTTGTGGCCGCAAACAGGTTGCCGTTTACAGAAGCAGCAGCAGCAGCAGCAGCAGCAGCAGCAGCAGCATGGTCCTTGAGTCAACAGAGGGTCCGGGGTAGGTTCATTAGGTTGCGTGTGCTTGCCTGGCCTAGCCTAGCCGAGCCTAGCAGAGCAGCGGTGCATGACTTGCATTGGAGGCTGCCTTCGCAACAGTGGAACATTTGTTGACGGCCGCCGCGGGTGCCGAGCCTGCAGACATGCTGAAGTTTGCGCGACCTTGTGAAAGCCTGGCCGCTCATTTGCCGGAGAAGAACGACGAGACTGCCGTGATTGCAGTGGCGAGCATCTTCATCAACATGGCCCATCTTCGTGTGTCCTTGACAGAGTTTGAGAAGCTCGGCCAGGACGCAGCCGCCAAAGTCGCTCACGAGGACTACAAGCTTGTGGAGCAGAAGATCCTCACGGCCAACTTGCGTGCAGAAAAGTGTTTGTCCGACTTCACCTCGCAGTCCGAGTCCGTCTCAATTTTTCAGGGACCTGCAGCATCGCTGAAAGACCTGGGTCTGCGGGGCTGCACTAGCTTGAAAGCCTTGCATACAGGCCTGGCCCTTGACATGGACGAATGCAAACAGCTGGTCTTGAAGACGGCGGAGTCCAAGCTTCAGGAGCACCTTGTGAAACTCGAGAAGTTTGCATTTGGCTGCGCAGATGGCAAAAAGTGGAAGGATGTCTTCCTGCCGAGTGAGGCCCAGGGCGAGGAGAGTGCTTCAACGGTGATTGAAGCAGCAAAGCAGTGGGTGAAAGAGGTCTTCGCCCAGGATGTGGAACCCCAAATCGCCGTTATGTTCAAACCGGCCAAGGCAGCGTACCAGGCTATGGTGGCGATCCTGGAGCGCTACAAGATGTCAGAAAAGGAGTGGCCCAAGAACATGGTCCACGCCAAACACGTCTTGGCAACCTCTATGGCTACCTCTGGCGAGGCACTCCTTCTCAGAGCCATCATGGACGAGAACTATGTGCAGGAGACCAGCAGCCAGCTGAAACGATTGGCGAACAACAAGTTCGCACTCAAGCTTGATTACAGGCGCTTGCTTCACCCGATCATTGTGGCAAAGGCCACGGAGTTGTCGCGGCAGTGATCAGTGATGTGTAGTAAGTAGTAAGTATAGTGAATAGTGTAGCGTGGTGTAGTGTGTAGTGACAGTGTAGTGCAGTGTAGTGCTGCAATGACACTGTAATGTAGTGAGTGACCGTTGCCGCAACTCTCCATGTCCATCTCGTCTGCCAGTTCCTTGAGTCTTTCAGTGCAACGGCAAAGGCAAGGGGCCTCCCATGCCAGCCGCCCTTGTGGCTTCGGCGATCCATGAATCAAGTCTTAGTCATCTTAGTCTTAGGTCTTAGTCTTAGTCTTAGTC